CCATACCTTATCCCAATGTTATGTCCCCCCTCCTACACACTTATTTATGTATGTCTGTCACTGTATGTATTTGTGATGTGTATTTGTGATGTAATTCTTTTTATATGTTAAAAAAAAAAAGATTGAACTTCAAAGACTCTGGCACAATTCAGTAAAGGTGGTCTCAGTGGTGATCAGCACACTGGGTGCAGTGCCTAAAGACCTTGGCCTGCACTTAAAACACAATTGGCGCTGACAAAATTACCATCTGTCAGCTGCAAAAGGCCACCCTAAGTGCACAGCTTATTCCACTCACCTTGTTGTCAGCTCAGTACTTACAAAGCATGAGTTAGCATTAGGATCATGTGATGTTTCTTGTCCACTATTTTGTGAGGCCATGATCCGATAGCTGTAACTATAAAAGTTATATGGAAAAAGGAATGCTTCTATATGTTGTAAGCTACAATAGTAATGTAAGATTGCAACAACATTGTTACTAGAAAGAAAGGAATTAATTACAAGCAATGTTTTTGCAACAAATTATGTGGAGATAATTGTTCCATAAATCATTAGTTGACCATTTGGAGCTCTTTTAGGCCACTTTTCCATATTATTCATCTATGGAGGTGAAATGGTAATCTGTTACTTCCTTGAAACCTATCTGTTTCCCGAAGGTAAAGTGAATGGAAAAATGCAGCAATTATGCCACAGCTTATGGAATATGGCATTTTGTGCCAGAAGTAAAATCATTACATGCCCGACTGGAAGCATTTGGGGAATCTTGCCAGGTGTTAAAATGGCTACTGTAAGCCACATGGTAAGGACACAAAGATAATAAACTAGTCTATAGGTAAATTTACATGGCCAAAATGGATGCGCACATCTTTATTAAGTACACGCTGGCTCATTTGGTTATCAAGTGGGGATGGGGGAAGACTGTTAAATGTTAACATCAAAAGATGTAGAAACCCCTGGTGGCACAATGGGTTAAACCCTTGTGCCGGCAGAACTGCTGACCAACAGGTCAGCGGATCGAATATGGGGAAAGTGGGTTAAGCTCCCTCTGTGACCTCCAGCTCCCCATATGGGGACATGAGGGAATCCTCCCACAAAGATGGTAAAACAACAAATATCTGTATATCCCCTGGCCAACATCCTTGCAGACAGACAATTCTCTCACACCAGAAGCAACTTGCAGTTTCTCAAGTTGCTTCTGACATGGGGGAAAAAAAATCAAATGGTATGCACGTGAAAGGGGAGTGTATTCAAGGAACTTCTTTTTTCATGTTTGCTCACTATACATGAGATACATCATGCCTTGGAGATCTCATCTTATGAGGAAAGAGAGGCGTAGAGGCAACAGAGAACCCACATAGCGGGCTTAATCAGAGCCAGAGGGGACTGGCAGTCCTGCCCTGAAAGTGGAGCCAGGAGCATCCCATGTCAACTCTGAAGATCAGAACTCAAGAGACACTGCATCTTTTTGGAAAACAGAGACTGAAGGAGCAGCAGCAACAAAAGAGCAGGACATACTTTCTGAGCTTTACAGGAAATGGCAACCAGCATGCGTTGCTGATTTAGAGCTGGCTATAAATTAGCACAGCCAAGGCCATCTCTTTGCTGCAAGGCAGCTGTTTTACTATTGCTATTCGGCATCATGTGACATTCCCTGCTCTATTCTGCTGACCCTTGGCTTGCTTCTTTGACTAGTCTCTTCAGTGACTCCCTGCTTGCTTTTTAATGTTTCTTGGACTGCGTTTTGTACTCAGATCCTGGATTATATCAACTATGCATCTACTCTTAAAAATAAACGTATCTCAATTTTTCATTGCTCCTATGACCTGGCACTGGGTTTTATCAATGCTCTTCTGTGTCTCAACCACCTTGCACCTGTGCATTTCCCCCTCTGTTGATGGATTTCAGAAGAGAATCACAGAGTTTGAATAGTCCGTAGGGCATCTAGTCCAACTCCATGTCACGCTTTACAGCTGAAGTACTCCTCAGAAAAAGCCATCTAAGTTCTCTTTTAAAGTATCCAAAGAAGGAAAGTGTTGAAAACCCACTGTGTTGACCCTGATCTGGCTTAGTTTCTCCATGTTCACTTTCATGGACAATAGGTGAACCTCTAGTGCACTCACCAATCTGAAAACAAACTTTAAAAGTAATATGGGAGGATAATGTTCTTAGCAAAAAAATGTCATTTTTTTCAGATAATGATGGAGGACTTGAAAGCATAGGTGAGCCAGGAGTCAGCCTTTGGAGGCACTCAATTAAAACTAATTTCTGTCTCCCAAATCAATAAGGACCCCTTTTATGTGAAGGGCCAATGCAAAAATGAATTTGGAGGCTATTGCCAATGGTGGGCAGGACCTGAGTCAGAGTTGAAAGTAATTATTTTTGTAACACAGTTTTTTTCTTTCTCCTGTTCACTTTTTATTCTGTTTTTCCCAACCCATATTCTTAGAAGGCTCGACCGCCTAGAAACACAAAATTCAGCCATCTTTAGGACAGAGTTTAGAGAACTATTACTATAGTGTTCCCTCGTTACTTCGTGGTTCACTTCCTGTAAACTCGCTATTTTATGGGATTTTTAAAAATTAAGTAACGAGGGAACACTGTAGCAAGGAGGGAAGAGGAGCTGCCCCCTTGCCCTCCTCCTTATCATCGCCTGGTCTCTTGCCGCCTCTTGGGCCCCGTGCCGCCTCTTCCGCCTCCTCAATTGTGGGACCTAAGCAGTGGCAAGAGGCACAGGCAGCAACAAGGAGGAGGAAGAGGAAGGTAAAGAGGGGAAGGGGGCAGCTCTTCTTCCCTCCCCACCCTCTTTACCTTTCTCTTCCTGCTCCTCGTCACCACTGGGGTCTCTTGCTGCAGCTTGGCAGCAAGAACCCCGGCAGTGACGAGGAGCAGGAAGATGAAGGTAAAGAGGGTGAGGGGCAGTCTTTTCCCCTCCTCACCCCATTTACCTTCCTCTTCCTGCTCCTCATTGCCGCCGGGGCCTCTTGCCGCTGCTTGGGCCCTGCGACACCTCTGCTGCCTCCTCAATTGCAGGGCCCAAGCAGCGGCAAGAGGCCCAGGCGGTGATGAGGAGGGGGAAGAGAAAGGTAAAGAGGGTGAGGAGGGGAGGGGTATCCCTACATCATGGTTTTTCACTTATCACGGGGGTTCCTGGAACAGAACCCCCGCAATCAGTGAGGGAACACTGTACTACTTTTTGGACAAGAGATTACAGATTGTTCCACCCAGCATGTCATTCTGATTGGTGGATTCTTGAAACTGTAATAAAGAAAACACCTTTTGTTACAGTTTGTCAATTTGTGCAGAGCAGCAGAAGATTCATCTTTTGTTTATTCAAAATGGAGCAACACAAGTAGAAGAAAAGCAAATCTTAAATTTTACTCTTGTGCTGCAGATTCATGAAAAAGCAGCAAGTTCAACACAAACTTTCTAGTAATAATATAATCACAGTTCCTCTGGAGTATCAATCTCACGTATAGTCCTTGCATTTAATTCATGCAGTGCTTTCCTTCAGAAAATATGTCTACTTCCAATCTTCATTTTTTCTTCATGGAGATGAGCATAGAAGGCAAACTTGCCAGCGTCAAATAGGCTGCAAGCCAGTTGCTTACACCGAGTAAGGTTAGGAGCAGACATTCAGTAAGCCCAAAATCATGCACCAAATATTCCCCAGTTATACCCCTTCGGGAGTGGCCCAAACTTGTTGACCTTAATTACCCCAATTACTCAGCCTGTTGATTGTAATTAACCAAGATGAGTCTTTTCCCCCTCTTAACAAATTTGAAGGTATCGCTGAGCAGGAATATAAAAGCTCTGTATAGTGGTAGCTGATGCTTGCTATTTCAGTGTGGTCAAGAATTTAGGTTTTAAACCAGGCTTTGAAGGAGCTCTCCAAAGTGCTGAACTCGATTCAGTACCTTGAAGAGCTAGTCCAAACCTGGAATGTATTTAATGCCCCACTAACATGCAACCATCAATTGCCACTGGCCTTGTATCTAAAGGTATTTTTATGTAGCACCTGTCACATAGGTCTAACCATTCTTCATTGTGACATGATACAATTTTAAGAAGAATATGATATATCCTGATAAACCTAATGTATTTTTAAACAATGGGGCATGAGAGGCAGCTGGGGCAAAAGAGAAATCTGAACCCTTCCACCAACTTCCTTCTCATTAAAAAAACCCCAGAATAACCCAGAAATTTTTTGCTGGTCTGATTGACCCAGTGGGGTGAGGTCAGTTGACATAGCCACTCATTGAAAACCAAGTTTAAAGTTGGATAAATATTTAATGGTTGTAGATTTGGTGGTTGTATACAAAAATCCATTAAAAAGGGACATACAATCTGGGGAAAACAATCTTACTCGAAAGTCTGTTAGGTTTTTATTGTAGAGAAACTTCAACAAAGATTTTTATTTTACTGAGTACATCCAATCTTTCATGAAAGAGATCTCCAGGACTCTCCCAATAGGTTTGTGCAGATCTGGCTCTTCTCTCTTTCTCTCGCTAAACCTGTCCTTGTGTTTCTCTCACTTTAAATCTTTTATCCTCGGGTTGCTACCATAGGCAGTGTGGATTACATAGCGACGGCTCCAGATATTTCACAAAGTCCCCGCTTGTTCTCATCCTGCAGTGCTTACGGTCTGAAGAAATGATGTGATGAAAGAAATTTGAAAGGCACCGTTAGGCAATCCTGAGGCAGGCTTGCCACATTCCTCCTTTTTACAGCTTATTGCTTTCTGAATGTTTCTTTTGACTGGCCATCAATCATCATATATTTGAAACTTCCAAGGGGTCCCTGAAATATCTGTTCCTTATGATAAAAGTTAGTCATAGCACAAACTGGAGGAGAAAGGGAAAGTACTTTGGACATCAAGTTAAGCAAAAGCTTTGTTCCAGCTTTATCCCCCTTGCACCATATTCTTTCTTTTTTCTTCCCTGCCTGTCTTTCATTTTCAGAAATATTTTCTTTTTCCCTCAGCAGGGCCTCACTGGTTAGCCTATGACAGACCTCTTGTGTGTGCTTAAGCAGCAGTCTGAGGAAGTAAAGAGTTGGGTTTGAAGACAAATGGAGACATGTTGTGACATACAAAGAAACTCCAGGGAATGACAGAGGAGCAGAACAGGATTCTACGGTAGCTTTTTGGGGGCAAGCCTGAGAAAGCACACTCACACGCTTACCTAGCTTTTCTTTCTTTCTTTCTTTCTTTCTTTCTTTCTTTCTTTCTTTCTTTCTTTCTTTCTTTCTTTCTTTCTTTCTTTCCTTCCTTCCTTCCTTCCTTCCTTCCTTCCTTCCTTCCTTCCTTCCTTCCTTCCTTCCTTCCTTCCTTCCTTCCTTCTTTCTTTCTTTCTTTTGCTACCTTCCTAGGCTCAGGGCACCTAGCAACAAAGAGAACCCCTTGTCTGGCTTATGATACAGACAGACCTTTGCCTTGCAGAGTGAGCTTTTGAAAGTTAAACAGAATTAGGGAGCTTGAGAAATACCTCCAACAGGGCTTAGGTTTTCTTTATATAGTAACAGTAACCCAGTTCTTTTGCATGCGTTTGATTATTCATACAGGTTTAATGGTTGGGCTTCTTTTCATGATGTTTTGTGTATTGTTTTTGTGTTTTGCTGTCAAAATGGATAGCCTCATGATGTTAGTTGCATATATTGAACAGTGTTTTGGAAAAAAAAGTTGTATATGAAAATATTTCTATAAAGTAAAAGCAAAAATTTCCCTTTCTCCGCATCTTCTTGTGGAGGAAGGTTCTTTGCTAAGGCAACTGGATTGGTCCCTCTTTCCTCCCCGCACCCTTTTCTCGGATTATTTCCATTTTAAGGTCTCTTGCCCTCCAAAGTGAATCATCCTTGTAATTGAGCTGCAGGCTGTGAAGCATTCCACCTTTTTTTGATTAGCTTGGACCATTGATCAGAGTCATTTCTTGAGAGGGTTTGCCAACTTTGGAGTGAGTCCCTTGGAGCTTCAGCTGTTACTGCACTTTTGATGAGCTCAAGGAAGGGACTTATAATAACTGAATTGATGAAGTCTTTTGCTCCAGCAGTAACACCGACAGTTTCTTCTCTGCCAAAAGGTAGCAATTCAGAGGCTTATAGACAGTGAGGGAAAAGGAATAGAAATGAGCTCAGGTTAGTCAGACTTTAGAAGGTATCTGAAAACCCGAGCAAGAACTAGGTTTTTAAAATTGGAAACTGATTTCTTGATTTTTCAATTATGGAGAAATCAGTCATTCATAGCTGAACTGTATATTCACATTTGTCTTTAGTGTACCATGACTAGGACTAATTGCCTCCCACCTCCCAGTTTACTTACAATATAAACTGGTACTATAGTCAAGCAAAACCGACATATACTTCTTTCCACAGTTATTTATGTATATGAATGACTCATTTTATATTACTATTGCCTGCCTATGCTCTATAGTTCACATTTGTTTACAATCAAAAAGTATTTGCTTGGTGTTTTCATCTGTATTCTACCAGAAAAAAAACATTTCTCCCTAGATAAGCATTTTACTCTTTCATTGTTTATGTTTACTTGCTCTTCTTAATGTGTTTTTTCTCATTAGTTTCTGTATAAACTCAAGTATAAGCCAACACAAATATAAGCCAAGGCACCTAGTTTTACCACAAAACACTGGGAAAAGGTATTAACTTCAGTATAAGCCGAGGATGGGAAATGCAGCAGCTACTGGTAAATTTCAAAATCAAAATAATACCAATAAAATGACATTAATTGAGGCATCAGTAGGTTAAATGTTTTTGAATATTTACATAAAACTGTAATGTAAGATAAGACTGTTCAACTCTGATCAAATCATTATTCTAACCTTCTTCAGTGTAAATGCTTTCACATATCCTTCCAATAATCACCATAGTTTATTTTAACTATACATTTTGGGGGAGATGCTATGTGTATACAAATAAAGAACAGTGTGAGAGACTGGCGCTGAGAGAGGAGGAGAGGAAGGTGTGCACTGCGCGAGAGAGGAGGAGAGGAAGGAGAGCTGGGTTGCTGTGTGGATTGGTGAGGGTCCTGGCAGAAAGGTGTGGGGATGAAAGAAGTTTTCCTGCCAGGACCCTCACCTGAGTATAAGACGAGGGGAGATTTTTCAGCTTAAAAAAGGGCTGAAAAACTAGGCTTATACTCAAGTATATACAGTACTTTCTAAATGCTTTGAGATTTTGTAAGCCACTTGGAACATCTTCTTTTCTGGGCAGTAAATTATGAATGGATGGGACATAATGTCAGGGTTGTATGCTGTCATAAAACTCCCGTTCTTGTGACACCAAAAGCACAGAGACTTTTGTTCTTTCCCAAGTAAGCAGGAAGGCTGTTCTTTCTCCTTTGTTGCAGCAGTATATAAAGTATATACAAAATATACAAACTTCTTTACATTATCTTCTTCCTCACTACTCACAGCAGCATTTTTCCAAAATACTTCCAAAAATATACACATGCCTGTGCTATATTTCAGATTTGTTTTTCATAATAATGAAACTCAAGTCAATGTTTGTTCTACTTTTGTAACTTAATTAATTCAAAATTGGGTTAGAAAACTGGAAGCATGAGAAGGCTTTTAAATTTTTCTGGATAGCCAGCATGGAGTAGTGGCTTGTATGTTGGATTATGACTGGACACCAGGTTTCGATTCTCCACCAAAACATGGAAACCCACTTCAAGATCTTGAGTGAATCACACATTCTCAGCCCAGAAAACCCTGTGATAGATTCTCCTTCACAGGGAGTAGCCATAAGTCAGAAATGAATTGAAGGCATTTCACAACATTTGGTCTATGAAACAGGTAGTGATAGCATAATCAACATAAACCACAGGCTGCTATCTTGTTTGTAATGCTGTTCTCTTGGGAACAGTCACTACAACATCTGGAGTATTGGACAATCAGAATAATGGTGGTGGTCTTTTACTCCTTCTTTACACAATCTCTGTATCAGAGGTGACTATCCTTGATCAGTGCTAGGTCTTGGGATGGCTTGGTTGATGGCTAGTAAATGAAACTTGAATCTTGGCAAAATGGGAGTTCAATGAGAACGTTATCCTTTAATCTAATTTAAAAACAGAATGACTATCTGTTCTGGGTCCTTGGTGGTGCAGTGGGATAAACCACTAACCTGTAGAACTTGCTGACTGGAAGGTTGGCGGTTCAAGTCCATGGACGGGGTGAGCTCTCATTGTTAGACCCAGCTTCTGCCAACCTAGCAGTTCGAAAATATGCAAATGTGAGATCAATAGGTACTGCTTCTGTGGGAAGGTAAAAGTGCTTAATGCAGTCATGCTGGCCACATGACCTTGGAGGTGTCTACAGACAATGCTGACTCTTTGGCTTAGAAATTGAGATGAGATGACCCACCAGAGTCAGACTTGACTAGACTTAATGCCAAGGGGAAATCTTTACCTTTAAATATCTTCTGGAGCGGGGTTCATTGCCTGAGAAATAAGAGATCTGTAATTTGGAAGTACTCTTGATTCTGTGTCACAAAATGCAAGATGAAAAAAAGTAGTTCAGAATCTCCTTTACCATCTTTGGGTTAATAATTAGCTACATCATCACCTAAATAGAGATGACTTGAGGTGGCACATTTGTTATTAAAGTAAGGATTGCATACTTCTAAAACCTGCCTGTGGGGATGCTGTTTTTTGAGAGAGCTATATTGGCTGCCTAGTTGGTGTCAGGTCATAGTTAAAGTTCTGCTGTTGGTTTATGAACGTCTAAATTATTTGGGATCAATGTGACTAAGAGCCTGTCTTCTTCCTTCATAATTTTGCCTTATCACTAACACATTGCATGAAGGCGCTGCAGGAGCTTGACCTCTGTGTAGTTGCTTAGAGTACAGCTTTGTGTGTATTGGCTCCCTCTCTGTGGAACATCCTACCAGATAATATCCAGCAGCCAGAAACATTGCTGTGCCTTTGACATCACATAAAGACATTTGGATTTGAACAAGTCTTTCCTGGTTGAAATATCAATCTTAATACACTGAAATTTTGTTTTATTTTTTAAATTAATGTTCATTACTTAGGGATGATTGAAATGTATAATGTTTTATCAACATTTCTAACCAAGTAAAATATGTATTTGCTAGAAATAAAAGTTGACATGTATGTCTGATGGTCTTAGGAACCTCTTTGGCAGAGAAGATTGAAGATCTCTCCGCCTGTCCTTCTCTTCCTTTTTGGAAACAGACAGTGAATCCTCCCAACAAAAGCCCTCCTCTAGTGGGATTGGCTGTCCTCTCAGCCAAGGGGAGGGCTGTTTCTGATACTCCAAGCGGGGAGAGGAGAGCAAGTGTGCCCGGCGCATGACAGCATAGTGTGCATGTGCGGGTGAGGGAGAGCGTATGTGGCTGGAGGGAGGTTTGCACCAGTGAGTCCCTTCAAGGAATTGGGGTTCTTTGTGGGAAATATGGCCCATTTCTATTGTTGGTGGCATTCAGAATGCTCTTTGATTGTAGGTGAACTATAAGGCCCAGCAACTACAACTCCCAAATATCAAGGTCTATTTTCCTCAAACTCCACCAGTGTTCATATTTGGGCATGTTGAGTATTCATGCCAAGTTTGGTCCAGCTGGATCATTGTTTGAGTCCACAGTGCTCTCTGGATGTAGGTGAACTACGACTCCAAAACTCAAGGTCAGTGCCCACCAAACCCTTCCAGAATTTTCTGTTGGTCACAGGAGTTCTGTGTGCCAAGATTGGTTCAATTCCATCGTTGATGGGGTTCAGAATGCTCTTTGGTTATGAACTATAAATTCCAGCAACTACAACTCTCAAATGACAAAATCAATCCCTACCCCCAACCCTACCAGTATTCAGTTTGGGTGTATTGGGTATTTGTGCCAAATTTGGTCCAGTGAATGAAAATACATCCTGCATATCGGATGTTTACATTACAGTTCATAACATTCGAAAAATTACACTTATGATGTAGCAACAAAAATAATTTTATGTTTGGGGGTCAGCACAACATGAGGAACTGCATTAAGGGGTTGTGGCATTAGGAAGGTTGAGAACCACTGTTCTAAGAAGAGGTCAGGACACAGACGGCATTAAAGTAGCGGGAGAGAAATCGAATTTCTGAGCTGTTCACAGTCCTTTACCAATATTTATTTATGGATAGAACGAGATCAAGAAGATTTCAATGTCACTGTAATTTCATGATTCTCATACATCAATCCTTGTTTATATTATATGCAATCAAATGCACTAACAAGCATCACAACAAAAAAATTGTCAGAACATCAGCCGACACATGCCATTTTTTTAAAAAAAAATACATTAAGGAGAAGTGTGAGTAAAGCATTTTGTTAATCAACCGTGAATGTTCTGTTCTTTTTCTCTTACAAAACCTACAACCTAAAATAATTTTGTAGGAGCTGGAGAAGAGGACGGTGTTGGAACCTAATATCCCTGTGAGATGAATGATTCATCGGTGCACTGAATGAAGCATGTCTGGAAATCATATAGTTCAAGAAGAATATTGACAAGCTGGAACATATTCACAAGAGAACAACCAAAATGATAAAAGTTCTGGAAACCAAACCCTGTGAGGCAGGCATGGTTTAGAGAGATAGGTATATTTAAGAAAAGAATATTGGCAGGCGATTCTATGCAGAAGTTGGAAGTGATGCTATGTAGAAGTTGGAATAAGTTCATTGGGTGCTGTTCCAGAGACTACAACATGAATTAATGGATCCAAATGATTAGATTCATCTAAACATTAGGAAGTACTTCTTGATTATAACAGCCATCCTGTTTAGGGAAAGCAAAGCCTCCTTCTTTGGAGGTCTTTAAACAGTGGTTGATAGCAATGTTGTAGAATTATTTTAGCTCTGCATTCTTGCGTAGCTTGAGGTTGGACTACATCTAGCTCTATCAGTCTTTTAAGCCTGCAGTCATTATTGCCTCTAGCAATAACAGAATCATAGAGCTGGAAGAGGCCTTATGGGTCAGCTTTTCAGTGTAGGATCTCCAGCTAAAGCTGTCCAGCCTCTTTTTGGAGATGTCCAGGAAAGGAGGCCCCACCAGTTCTCTGGGCAATTGGTTCCTCTGCCAAACCACTCTTACTGCAATGAACTTCCCTCTAATGCTCAGTTGTTCTCTTCTGTAACTTAAAAGCCTTAGATGTTGTCCTACCTTCTGGACAGCAGAGAACAGCCTCCCTCTTCTATGTGACTTTTTTGTAGGTTTTTGAAGAGCACAATCACGTTTTTCTTCCATTTTCACCAAGCTAAACATTCTTAGACCCTTCAAACTGTCCTCATATGTTTTGTTCTCCATCTAGGTGTTAACCATCAGGTACAAACTTTTTGGTGTCTATCAATGCCTCAAAGGGCCTGTCCTTGTTAACTGAGTTAATGGTTCCTGGATTTCCAAAGGATGGGTGGATACTTCTCATCTGTCAAGTAGGAAGAAACCATATTACAATCGTACTTTATTTATTTTGCTAGCATAATATTTGCATTGTATTGTTGAAGGCTTTCATGGACAGAATCACTGGGTTGTTGTAGGTTTTTCGGGTTGTATGGGCATGTTCTAGAAGCATTCTCTCCAGATGTTTTGCCTGCATCTGTGGCAAGCATCCTCAGAGGTTGTGAGGTTTACTGGAAACTAGGAAACTAGGAAAATTGGGATATATAAATCCAGTTTTCCTAGATTCCAGCAAACCTAACAACTCTGAGAATGCTTGCCACAGATGCAGGTGAAAGGTCAGAAGAGAATGCTTCTAGAGCATGGCCATACAGTCCGAAAAACCTACAACAACCCAATAGTTGCATTGTTATTGCTTGGTTTAACAATGAATGAAGTAGTAAGAAAAATAAATTTTTATCAGGGGCAATGGAACTGTGGTGAAGGATGATCTCTGGTTAGGAGTATTACTAAGGATGAAATGAATCTATGATAAAATTAATGATCTACCTCATAGATAAGAAACAAACCAGCATAGAGAGAAACTCAGATAACATTGTTTATTTACTAAACATATTTATCTATTGATTTTCTGCCTACCATAGGTCTCAAAATGATGAACAACAAAAAGAGAAAAAAACAAGAACTTTTAAGAAGCAGGCTGGACACAATTAAAAACAATTTAATGTTGTTGACTGTTAAAATCTCAGTAAGGAGGGGGGGACGACACCCAATTTATTTCCCTTGGGAGAGAGTTCCACAATCGATGTGCTGCTACAGAAAAGTGATTTTCATAGGTACTCACCAACCTTACTCTTTGGGGTGATCTATATGCAAAGGGAACTTGTAGCACCTTAGAGACTGAGAGAATTAAGTTGGTAGAAGAAGCTTTCATAGAACAAATCTACTTCTTCAAATGCATCTGAGGAAGCAGACAGCATACTATCATATGATACAGGCAAACTGGAATTGCGGCTAGGCCATCACTCCATCACATGATGCTGTGTTCATCCTGCTACCAGTTTGCTCCCCCTTCCACCCCCAAATCTCCCATTCTTATTCTAGAAAAGTCACTGCAAGTAGCTTCTGGTCTGAAAGAATTGGCCATCTGCAAGAACATTGTCCAGTGGATGCCCAGATGTTTGATGTTTTACCATCTTGTGGGAGGCTTCTCTCATGTCCCCTCATGGGGAGCTGGAGCTGACAGAGGGAGCTCAATCTGCTCTCCCCAGATTCAAACCGCTAGAAGGATTTAACCCATTGCACCACCAGGGGCTCAAGTCACTCCTGACATGAAAAAAAGGCTAGAAAAGTGTCTGCTACCAACGTCCTCGTGCCAGTTTGTTTCTAAGGTGCTACAAGATCAGTTTGCATAATGATATTCCAGACTAACATGGCTATGATTTTGAATTCAATCCTCCTGGGATGATGTGATGGATTACAAGACTTTCACTGAACTCTCCAATTCCATACAGGTGATCTTTCAAATAACTTGGTCCTTACCTGTTCGGTTTTAGTCATATTATAGGATAAATTCCACAAGATGGGAGAATACAATTCATGGTACTCTGGAGATGATGACTGTAAAACAAAAAGGTGGGGAGAAGATTAATGTCAGGATTGAGAAAGCATATGTAGTAAGCTTTCCATTTAAAAACATGGTATGTATTAAGATATTCTGAATATTAAGGTATCTTTTGCCTCAAATGGACGGCCAGGCCTCTACCCCTCCTTCCTAATGAAGCCCTCCAAAAGGCTATGTGTAGAGTGGGCCATTGAAGGCTGGCAGGCTTAATCCTTCCTCTTCTCTTTTTGGGTAATGAATAGGGGTGTCGTCAGCTGCCTGCCTTGTGTTCATCAATGTCATAGTTGGCAGTGTAACAGATAACAGGATGGATTCAAGGCCACCAAGGGACTGAAGCCTGACAGGATCTCATTCATCACTTCCCTTTTAGGGGTCTCTGTGGAAGAACCAAAATCAAAGAAGTAATTGAGGTTCACAGGGACCCATGGGGTTTGGGAGGACAGTTCTGCATTGCAAACAAACTTGAGCTGTCAAATATGTTTTGTAAATGAAGTATTTTCCATAGAAGCAGTAAGTTAATAGCTATCTTTTATATTCCAATAGTATGCAGCTGTGCTGGTGATATTTTAGGCTTATTTTTTGGTTTCTCTTGTACCTGAATGGAAATTAAAATTGTCAACCATTTTTTGGGAAAAAAATATACTTCTAGAATGATTCTAATCAGTTCTCTTCTGTCTATTTCAGCCTTGGATGATTGGCAAACTAAATATGGTGTCTTGGTTTCCACTTGGCTGCACACTGCCTGGATGTGGCTCATGACGGGAGCTGAGATCATGATAAAAACCTTGTCTTTCTGGGAGACAGGTGAAAAAAAAAGGACTGCGGTCTTTTGCCAAGACATGTAGTCTTCTTTCTGGCATTTAAAGAAAAAAAAAAGGACTACTTTTGAGCATCTGAACTAGGACTGATGATAGACAGCACCATTTTATTAATTAGAGAATTGGGCACTGTGTTACCTCTTGGATTTGCCAAGGGAGTAGCTGACTGGCCATGTCTGAATCTCTCTTAATATTCTTCTGATAGGCTGCCTATCAGTTGTAGATGACCTTTCATTAGTGTCTACAGTCTTTCATTGTGGAATACTGAAATATATATATATATATATATATATATATATATATATATATATATAGAGAGAGAGAGAGAGAGAGAGAGAGAGAGAGAGAGAGAGAGATTGATTGATTCCATGGCCAACTGGCACCATCTTGTCCTAGAAAGTTTTCAGTTTCTTGATTTGATTAGTGGCACAATTGGTGTGTGCAGCAACCAGCTTATCTATATAAACTGGGAGAGGTGTTGGACTTGGCTGGATAAAGTTGTGCTAAACTTCCACTTCAGTTTTGCAGGCTTGTGTCCTTATTGTGAAAATGAAACAGCATTTTGCTGAAGTTAGAGAGCAGACAAAACTTAAAAGCCCAGCCAGGGGATTACTTAAAAAAACTTTAAAGTATAGTAAAGATAAAGGTTAACCCATGACATTAAGTCGAGTCATGTCCAACTCTGGGGCATGGTGCTTCTCTTTATTTCTAAGTTGAAGAGCTGGTGTTGTCCTTAGATGCCTCAAAGGCCATGTCGTTGGCATGACTGCATGGAGTGTTGTTATCTTCCCGCCAGAGCAGTACCTATTTATCTACTCACATTTGCATGTTTTTGAACTGCTAGGTTGGCAGAAGCTGGGACTAACAACAGGAGCTTACCCCAATCCCCGGATTCGAACCACCGACCTTTCAGTCAGCAAGTTCAGCAGCTCAGTGGTTTAACCCACTGCACCACCAGGGGCTTCCTTTAAAATATAGCTTTCCTTAAAAACTAAACAAAAAATTGCAGTATTAAGGGAGAGATTTTCCTCATTACATATCTGTGTGGTGACACCCAATCGACCTGAAATAATTGGCATAGTTCTTTTTCATCAGTCATCAAAGAAAGCAATTATTTGATGTCTCTGTAAGTATTTTTGAAAATTCCATTGGAAGAATTTATTATTAATGTAGTCAATAAAAATAATCCAAGGTTCTGTAAATGTGTCTGTGACTTCTCAAACAAACTGTCAAACCATCATATTCTTTTTCCAACAAGAACCAAGTGCCATCTTTAAGTATTCTATGCTTTAAAAACCCCAGTGATAGTCACTGACAGATTTTGTTTTCGTGTCAGGAGTGACTTGAGAAACTACAAGTCGCTTCTGGTGTGAGAGAATTGGCTGTCTGCAAGGACGTTGCCCAGGGGATGCCCAGAAGTTTTATCACCCTGTAGGAGGCTTCTCTCATGTCCCTGCATGAGAAGCTGGAGCTGACAGACAGGAGCTCATCCTGCTCCCTAGATTCGAAATTCCAACCTTTCGGCCAGCAGTCCTGCTGACACAAGGGTTTAACCCATTGTGCCAACCGGGGGCTCCAAATTGACAGATGACTTGAAGGTACATACACAAATTCCATATCCTTCTCTATCAGAATTGGAGGGGTTTGCTTTGGGAAATCGTTGGGTAGCCTCTAGATCAGGCATGGGCAAACTAAGGCCCAGAGGCCAGATGCAGCCCCTCAGGTGCTTATCTCAGGCCCTCCCCCTTTTTCTCTGTCCTCTTGGCAGAAGGACAGAGTGGCCTGCCATGTCCTTATGCCAAAAAAAAAAAAAAATGGGAGTACAGCTCGGCTCGAAGAAGGCATGCATCAGATGAGAGCCCTCTGAAGTACTCTCAACTGCCACCTGTCTCACCCTCCTCCGGGCATAATGCCAAGGATCGGGGGAGGAGGATGGGGAGGGGGATTGGGGTTGGAGGTTTGGTGCAGTCACCATGTGTCCTGCCTTCCTCTTGGGATAAGGATAGGGTGAGCAGCCCTGTCCTTATGCTGGAAGGACAACCTAAGAATGATCCAGGCCCTGCCCTGTCCCCTCCTGGTCCTGTCCACTCCTGGATCCTTTCCCTCCCAGGCCTGCCCCACCCAGCGTGTGCCTGATCCCCCTTACTCCTGACCTCCTGGCTGGGCCCACAATGCGGTCCCAAGACAAAAAAAGTTTGCCCATACCTGCTCTAGATGAGTTTTGTCTGAAACAAATAGGATTGTTGCTGCTTGTGGCAATGGGAGCTTCAAACTGGCACCTCCTCAGGTCCTTTCCTGACGCTTTGGAAAAGATACTCCACATTGGTCTAAACAATTAGTTGCTAATCCCAACTAGAGTAGATCCACTGAATTAAACAATTTGCTTAAAGGGGCTACTCTGGTTGGGACTAGCAACTGGATTTAAACAGTGGTTTGTCAAAGGCTTTCAGGGCGGAATAACTGGGTTGTTTTAGGTTTTTTGGGCTATATGGCCATCTTCTAGAAGCATTCTCTCCTGACATTTCATCTGCATCTATGGCAAGCATCCTCACAACCTCTGAAGATGCCTGCCATAGATGCAGGTGAAACATCAGGAGGGAATGCTTCTACAACATGGCCATATAGCCCAAAAAACCTACAACAACCCACTTAAACAGTGTTGTTTCAGAGACATTGTAGGTTTAGGAAAATAACTTTTCATAAAGCCTTGCCTCTAAAAGGACCCCATGCATTAACAAAAATTCATTTCCAAAGCAATGGAAAGACCAGTGTGTTCCAGAAAAAGCACACAAATGTGACATTCCATAATATGTCAACCATTTAACTGAATCCAGACACCTTGCCTTACCTGGTTCCTTGCACAATGAAGTTTTTCTTTTTAAAATAAAAAGAAATGAACTAAATATTCCTGTACATTGAAAGTATTGTCTGGAGAGATTCATTGTATGTGTAGCCTATACGGCTTCTTCATCCCTGTGCATTTCCAGAATGTGAACATGTACTTTCTGGCCCTTGACAAATAAGGTGAGTTTCACAGGGGAACTGCTGATCCAGATAGTGGCTATAATGATTCATGCAAGAGTACCTGGTGTGCAAATAGGATACAATCACTGGATTAGTGCAGCATCTAAATATATATTGCAAAACTGTGGGGAAGCATCAGGCTAATTCAAGGCTGTCAGTTGCTATTCACCTTATCTCTTGGCTCTATCTCCAGATCTTGTTCTTCTAGTGCAGTATTTCCTTCCTAATGCTGTGACCTCTTAATACAGTTCCTCATGTTGTGTTGATCCCCAACCATAAAATTATTTTCATTGTTACTTCATAACTGTAATTTTTCTACTGTTATGAATTGTAATGTAAACGTCTGATATGCATTATGTATTTTCATTCACTGGACCAAATTTGGCACAAATACCTGATACACCCAAATTTGAATATTGATAGGGATGGGGGCGGGGACTGATTTTGTCATTTATGATTTGTAGTTGCTGGAATTTATAGTTGACCTACAATCAAAGAGCCTTCTGAACTCCACCAATGATGGAATTGAACCAAACTTGGCATACAGAGCTTGCATGACCAACAGAAAATACTGGAAGTGTTTGGTGGGCATTGACCTTGAGTTTTGGAGTTGTAGTTCACCTACATTCAGAGAGCACTGTGGACTCGAACAGTGATGGATCTGGACCAAACTTTGCATGAATACTCAATATGCCCAAATGTGAACACTGGTGGAGTTTGGGAAAAATAGATTTGACATTTGGGGGTTGTAGTTGCTGGGATTTATAGTTCACTTATAATCAAAGACCATTCTGAACCCCACCAATAATCAAATTGTGCTAAACTTCCCACACAGAACCCCCATGACCAACAGAAAATACTGTGTGTTCTGTTGGTCTTTGGTGACCCTTCTGGCATCCCCTCATGACCCCCCATTAGTACAAAAGGATTTGTCTCCTTTATTTATTCATAATAGTTTAAGATATATATATATTTTCTGTATAAGTTATGACTTCCCATGAACAGTACATAGCTTTCAACTTTCGCTAATTCACTATTAACCCAGACAGAACTGTGCCATCAACATTTCTTCCTGTAATTAATTTTGCTCTGACAGTAAATAGTTTTAAAAGAATTTCAGCTCCTGACAATTGATCATATAAATGAATTGAATCGTAATTTTTTTATTGCCCATATAAATTATGGACATTGTATGGCATTTGGGAGAAAGAATCAATCAATTATATAGAAAGGACAACTGTGAAGACAGATATAGCTGTTTATTCAAAGTTTGAAATGACCCGAAGTTTCTCCAGCTGTAGGCCCAAGAGTTGTGTTTGGAGCTTCTCTTATTTATGTTCATGTAACTGTAGTGCTCAGTAGCCTAAAATTACTTTCTAGAGTTTCATACGGTGCAGTGGAAAACCTGTCAAGTGGGAGTTGTGAAAAATTATGAGATAAAGTGAGAAAAATGAGTGCCAGGGCAAGTTGGAGACAAATGAAGCTGCTGAAGGAATAAATGATAGGGAGATCCAGGGAGAACATTGAAAAGAAATGCGAGCTTTGATGGTGAAGGACACAGACCCTTCTTTCGGGGCTCTTGCAATCATGTTGTGAAATGAAGAATTCTCTTTGGGCCAGCTGCTGCAGTGATAGAGTTATAAACAAGGACACTGAAGCAATCAAGACAAATGATACAGTCATGATATATGACTCTAATAGATGGGTTTCCTGTTCAATTAGCTGATCAGCTGTGGTGAAAATTAGTAATTTGTGATTATAAAACATTTTATAGTTCATGAGGTAGTTATCCTTGCTACATAGTGTAAGATCTGAGTTAATTTTTTCACCTTTCTCTTTGATCTAATATTTGGTTAAAATTCATGCTACAAACTTCTTGATTGAGAGCAAAACTTTCTCCATTTACACTTGAAACTTCAGTCTTTTTATGCTCTTTCATGAGAAGGTTCAGGTTTGTGCTGTCCATCTCTCAACATTAGTCATAGGGTGATTGCAACATTTTAGTGTCAAAACCAGGGCCATGAACTAGATTGAAATGGATCTAGAAAAGTGGTGTCATCCAAGGGTGCCTGGAATTACAGTCATCAACTGCACCAGTGCCTTATTAAGAAATTGATTATTTTATGTTGTTGTTATCTGCCATCAAATCCACTTTGATTTATGGGGATTATATGAATGGGGGACCTTCAAGAGAGCCTGTTATTATCAGCCCTGTACAGTACTTGCGAAAACAGGGGATATGACTTACTTTATTTATTAAATCCATCTGTTTTTTTTAGCATTCCCCTTTTCTACTCCTGCCAGGGATCCCCAACATTACTGTATTTTACAATGAGTCGTGTTTTCTCACGAAGAATCCAAAGTATGACATTTGAGCTTCTGAAAACTCTGGTCTGTTTTTCAAATGCCTGGCTATCTTCTTTGGAAGGTGGAAGAAAGGCTGATGCCTAGTACTCTAATTATGGATATGATGTCAAATTTGTTGAAAAGTACAAATGTGGCCAGTAAGCTTTTCTTCCCCATTCAATTTCAACAGTGTTGGCATCACATTTTCAGCTTAGCGGCATGTGAGTATGATTGAGGAGATCCAAGAAGCATAATTAGTTTATGAACTAGGCCTCCATGTGTATTGATCTCCACTTGCAGCATCCACTGATATTTTTCCTGGAGTGGAACTTAGATCTTCAAGCATGGAATACGATTGTTCATTTATGTAGCATGTGGGTAAGACTGAGGAGATCCAAGAAGCATAATTAGTTTATGAACTAGGCCTCCATGTTGATCAGCTTCCAGATGTAGCATCCACTGATATTTTTTCCTGGAGAGGAACTCAGGTCTTCAAGCATGGAAGACAATTGTTCATTTATGGGGCATGTGGGTATGATTGAGGAAATCCAAGAAGCATGACTAGTTTATGAACTAGGCCTCCATGTTTATTGATCTCCACATGCAGCATCCGCTGATATTTTTCCTGGAGTGGAACTCAGATCTTCAGATATCAGTGGATGCTGCATATGGAGATCAATAAACATGGAGGTTTTAAATTGATTTTAATGTATATGTTGTGTTAACATTTTATGCCTATATTTTTGTTTTAT